ACTTTTGAAAGGTTCTCTTGGAAACGCGATATAATCGAACTCCACGGAGCTGCGGGCGGAAAGCTAGTTGGGAATAAAAAAGACTGTTTCACAAAAAAATCTTATATCCATGTTTCCATGAAAAGAAGTTATTTATATAAACTTTAATTATATCTTATATTCTCTGTGTAAATATATGTGAAATATAACATATTTTTATTGCAGAAACCTGGTCAAAACATCCGCGTACGGGCGGAAGCGAGTATAAATTAAAATGAGAATATTGTTTCCTTAAATGGGATATATTGCTAATATGGGTATAAAAAAAGAAAATAGCTTGCATAATTGTTACAAAAATAGTCATAACAAGATAAATACTTACCTAACCTCTGTTGTATATACTTAGGTATTACATATACCATCCCGCATGCAATTTTAAATAACACACATTTTACAGCCGCATTGTTTAATTTATGTTTCACGATACTGTCATTAAATGCATCTGTTTTTATACATATTTATATATAACTCAATGGAAGAGACACTATTTGAGCTCTAAGTTGATTATATTGCAACAGACATCTACAACACTATTATAATTTTGTTATATTGTTGTAATTAAGAAAAAAAATAAAATTTAAACCATTTACGAAGAGTAAATAAAGGAATTCACACATATCTTAATCGTTGGTCATGTATGATTCTATAAAAATATATTTCTAACGAGATTTGTAGTCGTCAGTTTTGTACTAAAAAACTCTCGAACTTTCCAGATATCAAAACCACAGATAAGAATTATCGTCACAGCGAACCGTTTAATTAAGAATATTGTTTAAGCAACATTAATTGTTCGTAAACAATACTGTTATTAATATAGTACGAATGAAAGCAGTCACAAATACATATAAATAATAAATCTAACTATTTATTTAGTTTAACCTAAAAGGAAAAATATAACTGAATATTAAAAGAGTTTAAAAGTTTGAAGAACTTTTCAGGACAAGAGAAAGGTTTCTCATTATTTTACTTCGTGTTTGGTGCTATAAATTTTATCTTGAATAAATCGCTATAATAACATCGCATTTTAAAAGTATTGTCCCAATTTTGTTATGAATTATCAACTTTCAGTTACCTTAACCAGTTATATAATGCACAATATATAACAAAATATCCACCAAAGATAAAAATGCTTTCAAACATTTATTTATGTAGTACCGATTGCTGATGATGGGGATGATTATATTTATCATCATAGTACGTTAGTGTCTCTCTGTTCCCTCACATATGACCGATAGCCCGGCCAATGAACCTCTTATCAGTGTACAATGCGTCTACTGAATGATCTTTACAGGCTCTCAACACGTTTTAATTAAAATTGACCTACTTTGATTTATTAATCGCGTTCACAACTGATAAAATACTCGTATCTCATTCTTAAGTTCCAACAACATTGGAATTCTGAGCACTTGATTATTGTATTTTATATGTTATGGTTGGACGAATCATTTTTTCCTAGGCAGGATCTATTCAAGTTCATTTTTGGTTTTAAACTGCTTCTATTATTATCATGAAAAGTATATTATAACTCTATTATATTCTTTAATATAAATAATACTCATAAAATGTTGAACTTTTGTATTTAGTTGTAAATTAATAATTTAATTTGCATTGTATTATTGCGTACTTTATTAGTAAACTAATGAAGTAACAGTAAGATAATAATTTACTTATAATTGAATTTGTGCTACTATCATCTATAATTTTTGATATACACATATATCCTCTGTCTAAGTACTAATGTAGGAAATTAAACTTTTTAATACATTAAACTTTATTATTGTATCCTTAAAAATAGATTTCTGATTTCCAGTCTATGACCTTATTTCTTTAAGTATTAAAATAGGTATAGACAAAACAAAAGAAAACTCCTACAAATTATACTGCTGTTTATTTTACTGGAGCTATGGAATATAATTCCCGCTGAGGATTTCCCAAGGATCTACTGCATCTTAATGGTGCTCCTCAAAAGAGAAGTAAATAGATATTTGAAGAATGGACAACGCGCAAATAATTTCCCTGTTATTGCAATCACCCAAAGGCTATGGTGACTGCTTAACATCAAGAAGGCTTTGCGTTTATTTGTCACCGTCATAGTATAAGTAAGGAAAGCTTTACGCAGAGACTAAAAGTAATGAGTTTTATTCTCTGCTTTATTTTTTTTAAATTAAATCTGTATAGTGCTTTCATCTATCCCACCTAATTGTAAAAGAAGATTGTAGCCTTATTATTAGTGCCAGGAATGTCATAGGTATTCTCTCTTTACTTAAAGACTTCCATATTATTACTAGAAAGGAACACATGCGCAGGCAAACTGTTCTAAACTTCTTGTGAGGCCTGTAAACAACGTTTTAATTCTTTCTCAAGTAACATTGTCATAGGGCTTTTTTCAAATTGTCCTGCACTATATTTAGTAGTAGGTGCTATATGCTTCTGAGCAGTGGTTGTTGTAACTAAAGCTTAAATTTAATGTATAATAGACGCTGCATCTAGAATTCAGGTATCAATTTCAATCAATTCGATCCGGAAGAGAAATCACATTTACCTCTTGGTATAGGTCGCGTTAAAGTTGTATTTCATTATGGAACGAGTTAAGTAAGAATAAGATAAAGGGAAGTTATGTTATGTTGTTCTTAATACCTGATCTTAAATAATCGTTTAAGTAGGGTTTAAGTGTAGAAACTAAATAACCTCATTAGGTAAGTAACTGCCGAAAAACAGTGCACAGGAATGTTTTTGATTGCTAAACTGTAAAGCCGTTAACATCTGATATTCTAACTGACATTACATATCCGCTTGGCATTGGCAGACCCTGGCTAAAGCTGGGAGATTGCTAGGAAGAAGTAGATTACATATCCGCTTTATAACAAAAAATGTATTTGAGACTGTGATTGTGTATTTATTATGTATTCGTAAGAATAAGTAAAGTCAACGTTTCTGCAACAATATTGTGGTCGATGAGGCTTTGTTTTAGTCCTTTCAATACATTTCTATTCAAAATGTATATTCAATTGATGCTCGACAGCTACTTTTTTTGAATTTTTTGAATACTTGAACCAAATAAAGTTTGTAACTGGCACAGTAATCTCTTGGCTTATATCCATGATCGAGCTGACATCGGGAAATGTGATTCATTATTGATTTGGTGTTGCTGGTGGAACAGTTCAGCACCAAACATACTGCTGCTATTCGAAAGACTATTGATTGAAAATCAAATATTTTGGAATTTCATCGATTGATCAAACCACAGTTAAGAAATTATCGGTTTTTTAAGGGCTCTTACCACCTTGTGTAAGGCACCCAATATACTTTTTGAGAGTAGGCTTTTAAACCTGTAAGGTTATTTTTAGCTCTCATTGAAAAGACATTAATTTCATTCGTATATATGTTTCAAAATAAAGTTTTAAACAACAGCTATAGCTACGAGTATAACATTTTTTTTACGTTTCATCACTGTATAAAAATAATAAAACAAGAAAAACTAAACCAGTGTAAACTTTAACTTATCATGGTATAATCTTAATAATAAAGAATTGTCTTTGTTAAAAAACAACTTATTCATATTCCAAGTAAATACATAATAGCTATAGAACTGTGCCTGACCGTACGAAAATATTCAAAACACATTTTTATGGGACCATTTTTTCATAGAAAGAATCATGCTGAGAATTATAATATGCTATGATTATTAGGACGATCCGTAAATCTTTTAACGTACCACGTTATACAACAAACATATTAAACTAGAACAAATTAATCTGTAATAAAAGTTGCCTAATACTTCATGTCTATAAATCGGCACAAAGTGTTACTCATAATCAGAGTGAACTGCAAATTGTTTGATCAAGTGTTAGTTTATCAAAGAAGCGCTGTTCTAACTATAAACGGACTCTTTGTGACCCACCCTGCCAACCCCACCGGATGTAAGTCGTTTAAATTTTAAAATATCACGGCGGCAATACGATGTCACAATGTAGGTTAATCATATATAACTTTTACTTTGCAATTTTGTTAATTAAAGGTAAGGAATATAATATCAATGTTTCTTTTATATATGTTATGTACCTAATCAATCAATAATTTAAAATAAATTTATTAAATGTTTACTTTTTAGTAACCTAATTGAAAAAGACTTAAAAATAAACAGATATACGTACTTATTATTATAGCGTGCCTGTTAATTTTCATATAGCAAAACAATTGTTGTGCTTTTATATATGTATTTTACTTTTGTCATTAAAAAAAATATCCTCTACAAGTTTTATTAAAATATAACCAGTTTTTTTTATAATAAATATACCCATAATTCTGAAATATTAATGATGTAATATTTGTAGTAGTCCAGTTTTTAAATAAAGTGCATGGTAACATATATTGATACAATAAATATAAACACCACTAACAATAATTCATGTATTATACTATATAATGAGAAATATTAAAAATTAATTAATGTATTAAATTTTGAATACACAAAAACTTTTCTTGGAATAGAATATTGAATAAAATAAGTCAAATGTCAAGAATCGTGACAATGACAAAGTCAAAATCGAGCGTACATAAATGTCATACTCAGTTGATAATATTCAAAATTGAGTGAATTTATCATTTTCAGTCTATATAACATGTATATTTAAATATATCATGAGAAATAATAATTTGAAAATAAGTATACACCGTAAGTTGTTATTACTTACTTATAAAATATGTGTTAGCTAAATAGCGTATAGAATTTTATAAAGAAATTTTATACAAACGGAACGTTTACCTTCCGACATTCGTCGTCTAAAATTGTAAACAAGTCTTTACGATACCGCTTTTGACGACAGCGGATTTGAATAATTTAAATTTATCAATCCAAGGTCAGAAACTTACATTTGTATTTTAATCAGTCGGCCATTTGGGAGGCAAGGCACTTGTTTTTCCACCGGTGTGTTCAGTTTTCAAATTTTAATCATAAAACGATGGCGCTGAATCTCTTGAAACTTATTAAATCAGAAGTAAGTTATCAATTGTATTAGAATTTAATATAAAATTATCTTTATACATATTATCCTTAATTTATCTACTGGGGGTATATAAAAATATATTTTCTCGAGCACGTTTTTGATAAAGGCAAGATTCTTTATCCGAGATAAATGATATTAAGTACACAAGTGGAATAAAATCTCAATATTATTCTTTGGAAACATACAATATGAAATTCATTGATATTCTATAGGTTTTCCATCAATATTTCTTTTCAAAAGTGTTGAGAATGTAAGACAAACATATACATCATACAGCAAATTTGGTATTTAAACTGTGTGCATTATTCATAGTCCGCTCCTGTGTATTGTTGCGCAGTAGAATATTTGTGACTAAGGTTTCATCATGTTCTGTTCAATAATTCACATGAAGTTTTTGCGCAACAGTCTTGAATAGTTTTCATAAAAGAGGACACTTGTATATAATAAGCTTTATAATTTAACATTATCCCATTGCAAGTCATATATAAACTTTACTTTTTCAAACCACTAAAACTATAACTGAGGCTAAATCGGCTATAATATAAATTAAAGAAATTATTTTATCTTATTATAATGAAATAGTTATATAACATAGATATACTGAATAAACACATATTTTTTTTAAAATGATAATAATTTCTACAAATTTATCAAATTTTCTCCCTACACAATATTTTGAACACTTTTCCTCAACATAACTTATTTATTTAATATTAATTTAAATGATTTCAGTCTCATATATTATTACGAAGACATTATAGCAGTTCAGCTCCATCAACCAAGTTATACATAGATGGACAATATGTTGAATCAAAAACTAGCGACTGGATTGAACTCACCAATCCCGCTACTAATGAAGTTATTGGCAGGTAATAATTATAAGGACTATAATATATTAATATAAATCCTGAGTAAAATATTTAAATTATCCATATATGGCCATAATCACACATAGTCTGGACCCAATTTGGATAAAAACTTGAATGAAGTAAAGGGATGTTATAAAAAATCTACATTCATAGTGAATTCTGAATTTGAAACATCAGAAAAATTATATCAAAACAATTTTCAAACAAACTTCTGGTCATAAATGTTATTTGTATAACAGTTAAATAATAAATGGATTTTTTTCTTCATAATAGTTAATATTAAATTGTATAGATAATAAATAAATAAGAAACAGAAAAAAACGATATATGATCTAAGCAGGTGATACATTTTTCACAATAAAGATAAAAAAAAAATGTTAGTAAAATTTGTAATAATTAAAAACTTATTTTTTCCAGTTACTGCTGAAGTAAATAATTAATAAATTATGAAAATATGAATGTTTACGAGAATTAAATGAATATAACTTTGCATGTATGTTTAAATATGTTATCTATACAGTATACTATTAGAGATAGGAATCCTACTATTATCTTTTGTTTACATTTATTATGATATAATTGTTTTTTATGTATCTAGAATTCCATCTTATGTAATTTTCTTATATATTTACACATATTAGGTTTTGTATACACATGAAATAGTTTACAAGCTAACATTGTAAAAGGATTTGATTATAACTATTAGGTAAAAATTTGTTTAATGTTTTTGTAGTTCTATATGTGATCTAATTTTCTACAAAAGTAATTTTAATAGCTTAGTATTAGTGAATATTGTTGTTGTTTTGTTTACAAATTATATATAACTTTTCTTTCTATTTCAGGGTACCCGAGGCGACTCAAGAGGAATTGAATTTGGCTCTCGAATCTGCTAAAAAGGCATACAAATCATGGAGTCAAAGCACAGTATTAACTCGTCAACAACTCATGTTGAAGTATGTTAATATTGAAATCTCTATTCAATGTCATTTGTACATTTTTTATTAACATTTTTCCATCTTTAAACTATTAATTACTTCCGTAATATTCTACTATAAGGTAATTCTGTAGGGTGTGGTGAATTGATAAGAAAATTGTATTTTTGTAGGTTTGCTCGCCTTCTGAGAGAAAATCAAAGCAAATTGGCGGCTAAAATAACAGAGGAGCAAGGAAAAACTATTGCTGATGCTGAAGGAGATGTACTTAGAGGAATTCGTAAGGATATTTTATACAAAATATTATTTTTAAGGTTTCTGCTTATACTCTTTGGTTACTGTGGTAAAGGAAATTTATTCTCGTAATACATGAACATAAAAAAAATCTTTAGTGTATATTATTGAACAAGTTCAAGTTTGAATATTACAGAATTTCCTTCTAAGAAATCTTATTTCATATTTCTTATTCATTCTAAACGAAGTACTATTATATTATCAATCGAAAAAAATTATTACAGATGTATGTGTAGTATTAGAAAGTAATGGAAATATGAACGAAATATATACCTATATATTTCGTTCACTCATACTTTATTTCATACATATTTAAAATTCAGCAGAGTTATTTATATAATGAATATGTATACTATTCATTTTAAAATTTTCCTTATACATATATTTAAATTCGTATTTTACTTTCTGTTACTTAAAAAAGGATTTTAGTTTTAAAGTATATTTTTATTGTCATACACTATACAAATATTACACCTTTTATCTCTGGTAACAAAACAAAATTTCACGGGACATTAGCCTTATTCTTTTCCTGATGTCTAAACTATGTTTACTATAAAGTTTCATCAAAAATCTTTTAAAACATCCATATATCCTTTTAGAGATAAGTCCGCCTTTTGTGTATGTTTTTTTTCTATTATGTTTTTTTCTGTTTTGTTTTTTTGTGCAATAAAGGATATATATATATATATCCTAACAATCTTTAACATTTATAGTGTAAATAGTCTTTCTACACCTATAACAGACTATAAAATATATAAACAACTAGTTTTTGCCCGCGACTTCGTCAAGAGTAATATAATTATGTAGGTATAGCTGACCAGGCGAACTCTATTCCGTCTTAGAGGCCATAAATAATCAGGTTTTTCCTGTTTCAATCAAACAGAATGATTGACATATTACTTAGTTGTCAAATCTAATGTCAAAAACAGAAAAGGGCTGTTTTTAGGGTTTTCCCCGGCAATTATTCCAATTTTCCTCACCTTTTAAACCTTCCCTGGACTTCCAGGAGTATTTCAAGACGAAAATTAGCCAAATCGGTTCAGCCGTTCTCGAGTTTTAGCGAGACTAAGGAACAGCAACACATTTTTATATATATAGAAGATTATTTTTATTACAGAATCTGTGGAGCACTGTTGCAGTATAACAAGTTTGCAGCTCGGCGATTGTATACAGAACATAGCTAAAGATATGGACACACATAGCTATAAAGTACCACTCGGAGTCACCGCTGGTAAGAATATACATTATAGTCATTAATAACAGTAAAGAATTTGATAGTATATAATGTAATATTGTTTAACATATTAACTTTAGATATCTTAAATATAGAGAAAGTTGAAAATAATTTTACATAAAAAAATATCCATTGAGGTCTAAAATTTCATTAATTTTGTGTTAATTTGAATTTTAAATAAATGCAATGAAAATTAAACTAAATATGATTTTTTATAAAACAAAATAATTTACAAGTTTAATTTTAAAAATACAGATAATTATAGTGCGTTTGATTTAAGCTGAGCTTTGCTTTTATGTGAATACACACGGATAATGTAGGTGTGATGTCAAATTTTTGAATGCCACATTCTTTTCTCGATTTGAATTGGTTTTTTCTGATTTTACTCCGCCCCGCGCCTTCCTCACTTCACCCTTTGTATTGGTAGCAACTTCAAATGTTGAAAACGCAATGTCAAGTGAAGAAAAATTTGTATTGTTTTTTCAAAATTTTTATTACCTACTTGATTATTTTTTCCATAGTATTTCCCTTTGGCCTTTTACAAGTTTTGCTTATTTTATTTTTAAATCTAGAACAGCTATCGCGCTTATGTTTTGTATCTATTTAATATATAATAAAATTGAATTCTAAATGTTTTTTGTCTAACTATACTTTTACTTTCACTCACACAAATGCAAAGCTCAGCTTACGACCTAGTTTCACCAATCAATATTTGTTTAGTCTAATCACAGCATTTACTAACCAACCTTCAAAATTATAAATGTTTGTTAAAATATTTACGACCCAAAATGACAAATTAACAACGCATTATTAAACGTAATGTCAAATGACCGACTACCAAATTATTCGTTCTTGTTATAAGACGACCAAGTGGAAACTATAGCGTTTAACACGGCACGTTTGCCACGATGAACCACTTTATACTTTGATCGTATATATCCTTCGATACGTCACTTGTAAGCTAATGCGACCAAATTTTATATATCGTTGGTTGCATACATTTAGCACACAAAAAGCTTTCTTTTCAATTTACTAGGTGTTACTTGTCAAAATCGTGTTGTCAATAAATTGTGGTATATATTATTGTGTTATAAATATAGACATAATTGTGTTCAAATTATCTAAACTAATATTATAAAGAGGTAATATTTTTTTGTTTGTTTGTTACGAATAGGCTCAAAAACTACTGGACCGATTTTAAAAATTCTTTCACCATTATGATCTTTCCAAAGTAACATAGGCTATATTTTATGTGTATCGTGTAAACTGCAAACTGTATCGTGTAAACTGCAGACTGTACAGTATATACTACTGCAGTAGATATACTTTATACAAAAAGCTTCTAAAGAAGAGAAAGTTTGAAATATTACATCTTCATTAAAAAAGTGCGCAAATTCATATACACAAAATAAATATTACATAATAGGAATTATTTGTACATTTTAAAATCTACTTTATTTTCTAACATTAAAAACTTGTATTTTAATATCTAGAGTCTCAATGTTTAAGTTTTCATAAAATATATATTTTCATTTAAAAAAAGTCTCATCCAAATGACCAATAAATTCAATTGCCATTATGATTTTTCTTTTTTAACTAGGATTTTTTAAATAACCATTTCAAGTCTCTTCTACCTGGCAATTGTCCAGCTTTAGCCAGGGTCTGCCTTACATGTTGTGAACAGATTTGGCTTATTGTTTTTACAACCAGCCGCCTGCCTGACATCAACCCTCTTTGAGAATAGATAACCATTCCAAGTAAATGTTATAATTATACCTTATAGTAATTGACTAACCTATAATATAATCAAATTAATTCAACGTCTTAAAATGTAAGCAAAAATACAACTGAATCAATATTACCGATTTGTCCTCAATTTTAATGGAACTTATTTATTTTAGAGTTGAACGGGGAAAAGTGTTCAAGTTAAAAAAATACCATTTTAAAAGTAGATCGTGAAAATAATATTAGTTTTAAAATTATATTTTAAAATAAAACTTCATTTTATCATAATTCTATATGTACTTATATTTTATTGTTAATTGTTAGGACGCGTGTTTGTTTTTATTAAAATATATACCTATATACAGGGTGACTGGTGAATTACTATCAATATTTAAGGAGCATACTCGGTACATGATTCTTATTCGAATTATGTAAAAAAAATAGGTACTTAATTTTTGACCAAATTTCCGTATAAATAAATAAAGTGTGTACACGTTCCAAGTGTTCCTAGTGTGGACGCGTGCGGCGGCGTGCTGATACAACACTACGCCGCCGCGCGCGTATGTGTGAATGTGGAGTGTAGAGTAATCTGTAGGGTGTTCATACGATGCGTAATTAATTACACAACTTTTGGTTAATTTTACTTAGAAGTTTATTAATATTTATGTTATATTAATTTTTATTTTGTCATATATGATCGTCAAATATCACGTCCTCAAATATCGATAGTAATTCACCAGTCACCCTGTATATATTTATATTTATAATAAATTGGTTTTACATGTTTTCGATCATACATAGAATACTACGGCATCTCAACGAGGAATAAAAATATTTTTTTTTATAAAGAATATCTCTTTTTATATGTTTGTATACTATAGCCAGGTGTGAGTCATAAGAAATAAAAAGAAAACTTAATTTGAAATGTCATAAAAAAGCTGGAGGCAAAATCATCATACTAAATGAAATTTTAATTCACTTTATTAATAATAACAAGGAAATAGTCGAAACTGACAAAACAGATGACGTTACTATGGTTACAAGAAATCAGGGCTGTGATTGGAAAATTGAGTTTTGACAATGCCATAGCCGGTTAGCCATTAGACGGAGCTCCAGAGCAGGAATTAATATTAGTGGCTGGTTAAGACATTTAAACGGACATTTGTGCGTGGTGGGACGCTCGATACATCTAACAGAGCATCAAACGCCCTAACACGATGTTACTTATTTAACATTGATTGGTGAAACTGGGTCTAAGTCTAACAGGCTATACAATGTATTAAACTTTACAAAAAACCCTAAAAATAAGTTATTTATAAGTTTAATTTATAATTTCCAGGAGTAGCAGCATTCAACTTCCCAGTAATGATACCGTTATGGATGTTCCCACCCGCGTTAGTGACTGGCAACACTTGTATCATCAAACCATCGGAACAAGACCCCGGAGCCACACTCATGATGATGGAACTGCTTCAAGAGGCAGGAGCTCCAGCTGGAGTGGTTAATGTATGTATCTTCTATATATATATATAAAAATGAATTGCTGTTCCTTAGTCCCACTAAAACTCGAGAACGACTGAACGGATTTATCTTATTATAGTCTTGAAATGTTCGTGGAGGTTTAGGGAAGGTTTAAAAGCTGAAATTTTTTATTAATTTCCGGGAAAACCCTAAAAACAGCGCTTTTTTATTTCCCATACAAACGGTTTTTTGACATTAGATTTGACAACTTACTAATATGTCAATCATTTTGTCGCACTTCAGAACACGGAGATTTATGGCTTAAAGGTAAAAAAGTCTGCCGGGTCAGCTAGTAGATCATAAAAAATAAAATTAGATAAATTTTATTTATTTATTTTTTTGCTACACACATACATTACATATATTATACAGAAGAAAAAAAACTAAATTTAAAGAATACAGTGTAGCAAGGGGTTTCATCTCAGTATAAACTGTGCTAATACACAGCACTGATTTTGGAGTATGCTTTTTTATTTTGTAATATGAAGTTGTGTAAAAGGAAGTCCTAAGACTTGTGAATATTAATATGCATTAAAACTTATTACATATTATATTTTTTATGTATAAAATTAAATAAGAGACTGCAAAACAATTAGGGTATAAAAAATATGTCATTGCATTTAAATAAAAGTCTTAAATTAGTATTTCTATTTCATGCTTTGAACATATGTTATTTTTAGTATTAAAAAATATATTTCTTAATAATCTATACAGTTTATCTGAACAACATGATTTTTTATATCAGCTTCTTTAAAACACTTTTAAATCAACAAAATTATATTTTTTAATTAATATATTTATAATCTACCCCTTAATAATCTCATGTAATATTTATTGTTTATATATTGTATGTAATTAATGCAATCACATTTGTTATAAGGAAAATATTTATTTAGAATATTGACCTCACACAATCAAAACCTACATAGTTTGTAAGACATACATAATTGGTGGTAAAATGTATTTAATCATATACAGGTTGTTCACGGAACTCATGACCCTGTGAACTTCATATGTGATCACCCTGACATCAAAGCTGTGTCATTCGTAGGGGGTGATGCAGCGGGGAAACATATCTATAGCAGGGCGTCGGCTGCCGGTAACTAATATTATATATCTTTATACAGGGTGACTGGTGAATTACTATCAATATTTAAGGAGAATACTCGGTACATGATTGTCATTCAAATTATGTAAAAAAAATAGGTACTTAATTTTTGACCAAATTTCCGTATAAATAAATAAAGTGTGGACACGTTCCAAGTGTTCCAAGTGTGGACGCGTGCGGCGGCGTGCTGATACAACACCACGCCGCCGCACGCGTGTGTGTGTGTATACCTAATCTTTAGGGTGTTCATACGATTCGTAATTAATTACATAACATTTGGTTAACTTTACTTAGAAGTTTATTAATATTTATGTTATATTAATTTTTATTTTGTCATATATGATCTTCAAATATCACGTCCTCAAATATCGATAGTAATTCACCAGTCACCCTGTATATATATATATAAATTTCGTGTCACGTGTTTGTCCGCGATGGACTCCTAAACTACTAAACCGATTTTAAATTTGATTTGCATTCCGTGTGCATTTTAATCCAACTTGAAAGATAGGATAGCTTACATCTCAATTTATAGTCACAATATTATTTTATTGGAAATTATTTGTCTATTAAAGAAAATTATTTGTCATTATTACAATTATAATTATCTGTTGACTGAGTTAAGTATTCAATAGATGGCGCTATGTTAAAATACAAACGTTATATATGAGCGACTATTTAATAATAGCACAACCACCACTTATTAATAATTCTGAGGCTAAGGTATAACCTAAATTTATTTATTAAAAAAACGTAACAAATATATCTTGATTATAGGGCGATACGAAGTTCGCCGGGTCTTCTAGTATGTATGTGTATTAAGGAACTTCGTTCGTATTTTTAAAAATAAAATAACAGTATGACATTTGACAATTTGACTATGTAATATTAATTAAAATGAACAAATATAAAAGGTAAATTAAGGAATAAAATGATGAACTGCTAACTCCAATTAAACAACAAATAAAGTACTTACAGAGTAATATCCTTAAAATAGCCTTAAACTAATTACTAACACAATATTAACAGTCAAAATCCTTGAGCGATGTCGTCTCGACGACGGACCACCGAAAAGTGTTTACATATTTTGTTTCTTGTCCAAGGAGTTCCTAACTATATAGTATAAATATTACAATTTCATGCTTAGTATATAAACTTTTAAGTACCAGTAACGCAATGAAAAGCTATAAGCTGAAATTGCTTCCCTTTTATTGCAATTCTAAATTATTTAAACTTTTGTATGCATTCATATTATTTATTTTGGTGTATATTTGATCAGTGTCTTTTATTTGTAATATTATTACAATGAATTGGCATAAATATGTAACATAAACAAATATTGTGACAAATCATCTTTATTTTATATTAAAAAAAAATATGTCATTTAAAAATATAATTTAAAATGAATGATTAATATTTATTTTAATATTTATAACATAAAGGTCCATGCAACTTACTAGTATTTAAATACCTCACAACCTATTATGCAAGTGAAATTATTAATCATAAAGAAAAGACAATAGTCAATTAATGCTTTAATATTTATTTAACCAATAATTCATTATATATCACCAGGCAAGCGTGTTCAGAGCAATATGGGTGCCAAAAACCACGGTGTCATAATGCCCGATGCTAACAAAGAGCACACATTGAATCAATTGGCTGGAGCGGCCTTTGGAGCCGCTGGTCAAAGATGTATGGCACTCAGCACTGCCGTGTTTGTTGGTAAGTACATAATAAATCATTCAAATGATACTAAATTTTATTATACTATCCATTTTTTTATTATTTTATATCTACTTGACCTAACATTTTAGTTCCATTACAGCAAATATGACTAAAAGACGAGATGAAAGTGTCAGAAACTTTAGTATCTAGAAAACTTTGTTTCATTTAAATATGTACACACAAAAATCTTAGGTGTCATTACATAATAATTCACAAACAAAAACATATTCGTATCATACACATACATGTAGTTTAAAGTAGTTTTTGTTTTTCTTTTGGTATAGCGACAGTACGTAACATAACTAATATATAAATACAAATAAATGCACACAATTATACATCACTCAAACACCATGTATAACAGAGACATAATACAATTTTATAATAAACTAGCTGCGCCCCGCGGAGTTACCTGCGGATTTCCGGGATGGAAAGTAGCCTATGTGTTATTCCTGGACTTCAGCTTCCTGTATACAAAATTTTATTAAAATCGGTTCAGCCGTTTGAGCATGAAGAAGTAAAAAACGTACACACACACTCACAAATATTTCGCAATTATAATATTAGTAGGATTGTATGTTTCTATTTACTTTTAAAGCAAAATTGACACATAAATAATTTCTAATAATAATATTTTGTATAGGTGAGGCCAAAGAATGGATACCTGACTTGGTGAAACGCGCTGAGGCTCTTAAAGTTAATGCTGGTCATGTACCCGGCACTGATGTTGGTCCAGTCATCTCTGTTAGAGCTAAAGAGAGGATTCATAGGCTTGTTGAATCTGGTAAGTTCATTGACCTTATGAGTTTGTATGTTTTTGTCATATCACAAAGGTGCAAATGAGAAGGTCTAACTGATGGTAAGTAGTCACCATCGCCCATACATCTGCAATATATGAGGTATTGTAGATACCTTGCAAACCTTGTTGGTGCCAATGTTCAGTAATTACTGTACTGCCACTGAGAAAAATATTGTGTGACAATTTAATCATCAATAATAATCAACAACATCTCAAAGTACAGTTGCTTGCAATGAAATTCTCCCCATTTCTTCCCATTAGAGAGAAATATAAGAAAAAATTAAAGCCAAATAACAAGTAATTAATACATTATTAATTAGAAGTAACTAATAAGACTAAACTTCATTGATACTATTTTGTAATTCTTTGTTTAGTTTTGAGTAAACTAGGTATTTCTTTAATAATGATAATAAAAAAAAACATTTTTGTCATAATGTTATTCCTCCGAGCGTGTAATTTTTCCAAGTGAATTATCTAAATAATCATAAGCATAACATAGCAATGGAATCTTAATCATCTCATTCTATTAAATGCCACTGTAAATTATATTTCCCTTCATTTGATTCTAATTCCATACATTTCAACTCAATTTCAATTTTCTGTTCATGTTTTAATCAAATATATTAAATTCTTCTTTCATTATTCCACAGGAGTAAAAGAGGGCGCTAAAATTGTGCTTGACGGTAGAGGGGTTAAGGTTCAAGGCTTTGAGAAAGGAAACTTCGTCGGACCAACTATTCTCACTCATGTACAACCAAACATGGAATGCTACAGAGAAGAAATCTTCGGTCCCGTATTAATTTGTCTCTTTGTTGATACTTTGGACGAAGCTATTGAAATGATCAATTCAAATCCCTATGGCAACGGAACAGCTATCTTCACAACCAACGGGGCGACCGCAAGGAAATTTTCTTCACAAATCGATGTTGGCCAAGTCGGAATAAACGTTCCCATACCAGTACCATTATCTATGTTCTCATTCAGTGGAAGCAGAGGCAGCTTTTTGGGTACAAATCATTTCTGTGGCAAACAGGGTATCGATTTTTACACGGAATTAAAAACCGTTGTATCATTCTGGAGACAGAGTGACGTATCTCACGCTAAGGCCGCCGTTTCTATGCCAACTCAGCAATAATCACGTATACAATGCCATAATAATGTTAAGAGAAAATGTTAAAGCATTTATATTTTTTTATATGTTTATTTTTATATTCTTCCATTATATCAATCTGGTTACTGTTATAAACAATTTGTAAGGTGTTATACTATTTCTGTTATATAATAAATATGGTGTTATAAGAAAACAATTGTAATTATTTCAATATCTGAAAATACGTAATCAATATTCTTTTACTCATGAATGGCGTCTGCGCAAAGTTTCTGAACGAACACATGACGTATTTTTGACAGTTGTGAAGTTTGTTTATAAACAAAGAACAAAAGAATTTACAGTTAAAACAATATACAGTTACATTTTGGGCATGCATAATAATTAAAATAACCAAAGGAAACAAATTTGCAATGTTGTATAAACATTTAATTGTTCTACATTCGTTTGTTTTGATTTAACTTCGTGACATCATAAACAAAAGCAAATTGGGTTTCCTGTGTCTGTTGCTACTTCGAGGGCTGTAATCATGGAACTAGCACGCTTTGTGTCTTATAGATCATGGTTATTACTTATTGTGATATTGTCATATTGTAATTGTTTGACGCCGCAATGTAGAAATGAAAAAGGTGAAGCTGTGGACTGGTAAGTATAATTATAATAATTTAAGTATATATACAGAATATGGCGTACCCGAATAATAAGTTATAATATTACTTAAATTTGAATAGAAAAGGCTATTTAAAATTGAAAATATTTAGACTTTGAAAAGTTTTTGGGTAAAATTAAAGTCACAAATTTAAAACAATATTTCTATGCTTAATGATTCACTCATAATAGATAAAGGCCTTTTGCGCAGTTGTGGTTTTCCTTATAATATTTTTAACAAGATAATGATTCACTATGTTGCTTTTTCATTGTAACTTTATAGATGTAAAAAAATAACAAAAATTACTAGAACAAAGAAAATATGTTACAATATTACGCAGTATGTAAAATATTTTTTTAGGTTCTATGTATATAAATTACCTAGAGAAAAGAACCATTTAAATCCACTAGTGCGTAGAGGAGTTGCTTACATGCATCTGACACCATCTAAGTTAAGAGGTGGCTGGATCATGTCAGATTTGGCAATAAGTGATCCTCGGTCTATGGTGGGAAAAACATTAGCACCATTATATCAGGTAAAGTACAATAAAAATTAAAATGGACAGTATGCTGATTACATTATTATTTAAAGCATTACTTCTTCTATTATCCTAAAGAGATATATTAAACAGTTCTATTGCAAAAAGTATGTATATTCATAGTTTGGCATTATATTGTGTAATTTTAGGATAAAAATATTATATCATTAGTGTATAATGATCAACCTCCAGCTACGGAAAATCAACCAGATCTACTTCAATCCGTTGCTGAAATGTATTCAAGGAGCAAGAAAGGTATTAACTAATACAAAAAAAAAACTGATATTTATGACATAAACAGATAAAAATGTTTTTTTTGTATTTTAGGACAGTTGAAGCAAGTGGGTGTTAAAAAGTACAAGAAGTTCAAGTTAGGTGATAAATACTATGATGATTATGACTTAGCTGAAATGTGTAAAATGCATTCAAAATTCATGAAGACAAGAGTCGAAAGTGGTCACACTAAGGGAGTTATTTTAGGAGATAAGTTTACATCACTGTGGCTTGTTCATTCAGTGCCTAGATTCCCACCTTTACCAGATAGTAAGTATTCAGTACAGTAAGACGAAATTTTCGATCAATTTATACATATTACCATACATGTTATTAGTTAAATTCAGTGTACTGTTTGAATTATTGAAATATGACTTTTATGGCTAAATTATTAGGTTCAACTTTGCATTGCATTACTGTGTTATTATATATAATAGAGAAAAATGTGGTAATACTTCATTTGTTGTTATATATTTTCAGTTAATAGTATGAACATGAGTTCCTATGGTTATCCAACAACGGGGACAAAATATGGTCAATCATTTCTATGTGTGTCTGTACAGACATCAACACTCAATCAGATTGGAACACAATTGAAATATAATGAGCCACTAATAGTGTACAGTCATATTCCACAGGAGTTTGACAATGAGTTGCCAAACTTAGTTGAAGTTGTAAGGAACAAAACTATTGATGTATCACCCTGGTTTGTTCATATTTTATTTATAATTTTTATATTGGATTTCTTAATTCAACACTTCTTTTTTGGGTTGCTCTGTTAAATATATTTAAATTATTTTATAATCTGTTAAAGAATAAATACTTTTATTGAGATAAAATAATTTAGTTAAAAAAATGTTACATGAACTTTATTAAAGGTTTGTTTAATTTTTCAGGTACCATATAGAAAGTTTTGAAACTTTAGTTGGTAGGAAGTTTCTATCATTTGCGAAGAGTGCAATGTTTAATGATGACTTGTACAGTGGTTTAGTGGCTGAAGTTCTACAATCAGATCTTCTAGTGGAATCTTGGACTAATGGACCCGGGACTTTAGACTCGGAGTGTACAAGGAACTTCCAGTAATGTATTAATTTTCTTTATATTATAGTCAAAAACACAAACTACATATTGGTAAGCACAAATTCCTGGTGCTAAAAGATATATGGATGATACAATAAATTAATAGAATACGGAGGTAAATTAAACCTGTCAGAACCGAGTTGAGAAACGTTTTTTTTTTGCACTATCAAGATGCGCTGAATCCACTGTAGATATTTCTTATATAGCAATATATCAGTTGTTTGAAGTTAAATTATCATAGACTGGGTAAATAGGTTTGTATTAAGTAACATCGACATCAAATTCATAGATATCAGAAGAATACAATATTTCATTATTAATGATTAATAAAAATATTTACCAATAGCCTTAAAAGTTGTTTTTAGTATCTAATTATTTTCCTGGTAATGTGTTAAACTAATATATGTTTCCAGAGTCCGTAACATAGAGCGTTTGAAGTTTCCCATCGCTAAGATGTCGTTCACTTCTCACAATGATCACTCCAAGTGGGCGGTTGCCGTCGCTCATAAAATGCACAACAGCCAAGACACTAAAGTAGCTGACTATTGGGTCTGTGTTGGAGATATTAATAGAGCGGTCAGTATATATACATGTTAAATTTAATTTAACAAAGCAACCTTATGACTGAAATCTTCGAAATATCGTGTCCCAGTTTATTTGGCAAATAAGCTATGATCCCTTGATTTAAATTTTGTGAATTACTCCTTTTTTTGAACTAATAATATGTCGTAAAAAAAATAATACAAAAAGCTTGTATATATTATAGACTCATATATTATAGATATTTTCAAGTATTGTTGTCTTATAGTGATAAGTTTTATTTATTATTAAACTAGTGAGTTTGCATCTGCGTACTAAAAACTTAGTGTCCAGTTTTTTATTCACAAATATTCGCATACTATATTTAAGTTATTCATAATTAAATAAACTGTAAATAGTCCTTATTTAGTTTGCAAACATATAGTGAAGGACTTTAAAAGACTTTTTTAACTGATACAAGTGTATTATGTTTCCAGTTACCCCAGGAGTCACGTGGCGGGGGTACCGTTTGTACGTCAGGCCCCATACTGTGGGGTAACTTCGCTCACCTCATAGAGAGCGTTCAAACGTGTAACAATTGAGACTGAACAAATAAAATACGATAACTGAAATAATTTCCGTCAGGGCTTCCCAACCATTTCTGTATATGACCTTTTTTGTATGTTATAACTTTGTGATACTTTGAGAACCCCTGACATAGACTGTGATGATATGTGATTGTATTAATTGAAATGTTTTTTTTTATTTGTGTTTAACTTTAATTCTTTATAAGATAACTTTTATATACTAAGTACTACTATTAGTATACTATTTGCTATTTAATAAGTTTAATTTGTTGTTTAATAAGAAATCCTAAAGCAATATTCAAACAAAGGAACTGTTTATACAGATTTTAATGTACATACATATTTCTTTTTTAATTAATTTCTGGTTGTACTTATGTTTGAGCTTTGCTAACTGTTTGCATGATTCATTTCGATAACAATTCTCTGGTAGACTTTTTTGTTCTATTAGTTATTTATAATGTTTTTTATATCATTTTAATATATATTTTTTATAATGAAAACTCATAATTTTAAGGTTTTGTAAGTAATTATAAAATTAATAATAAAATTACCAAATAAAAAATATTCAACAACCGTGTTTTTCTTACCTCGCAATTTCTCGCACAAAATAAAATAGGTTGGGGAAAAAGTCTTTTCGCATTATAGTATGTATGAACTTGTAATAAAATCTCTTTGGCTGTAGTGTTTGTATCTGGCTGGTTTTGGTATCATTGAAAGTTAAAATTTTAAAGAAAATAATTCCAAATACAAATTAGGCAAATGTGTGATTTTCATTTGTTTTTCGTACTATCAAGATGAGTGAATCTAATGAAGAAATTCGATACATTTTAAAATCTTACTACAAAAAAGGTAAAAATGCAACGCAAGCCGCGAAAAAAAATTGCGATGTTTATGGACCTAGTGCAATGTCTGTGAGAGTAGCGCAAATTTGGTTTAGGCGTTTTCAATCCGGAAATTTTGATATCAAAAATGCGCCTCGCTCTGGTCGCCCTATTACGCATAAAATGGATGAAATTTTTGAAAAAGTGGAGCAAGATCGACATATCAGTAGTTACGACGTAGCTGAAGAACTGGGAATTGATCACAAAACAGTTTTGGCGCATTTGAAAAAAGCTAGGTACAAAAAAAAGCTCGATATTTGAGTACCTCACGAGCTCACTGAAAGAAACCTAATGAACCATGTACTCATTTGTGATTCTTTATTACGACGTAATGAAACCCAATAATTTTTGAAGAACCTGATAACTGGTGATGAAAAGTGGATCACGTACGACAAGAACGTGCGAAAAAGGTCGTGGTCAAAGGCTGGTCAGGCTTCACAGACTGTGGCGCAACCCGGGTTAACTCGCAATAAGGTGATGTTGTGTGTGTGGTGGGATTGGGCGGGCATTATTCATTATGAGCTATTACCACCAGGCAGGACTATCGATTCTGAACTCTACTGCAAACAACTGATGAGATTAAAGCAAGAAGTTGAGAGAAAGCGGCCGGAATTGATCAACAGAAGGGGTATGGTGTTTCATCATGATAACGCTAGACCTCACACATCCATAGCCACTCAGCAAAAATTAAGAGAGTTTGGCTGGGAGGTGTTAATGTAACATCACGAGAGGACTGCCAAATCCACTTGTCGCGGTATTTTGATGAGAAGTCCCAAAATTTTTTTAGCAATGGGATGATGTCCCTACCTACAAGATGGCAAAAGGTTATCGAATAAAATGGTTTTTTTTTTTTTTCTTTAAAAATTGTTTTGAATTTTCTTAAAAAACAGTAAATTCTTATGGATATATTTTTAAAAACGAAAATAAAACCCTTATGCGAACCTTAGCTTGGAAACACCTGACATAATTCATCGCATTTTATTTCAGCTATATAATTTAACTATAAACTTAGCTATTTTTTATGCGTCTTTTTATAACATTTACGCATTTTCTTTATATTTCATAACTTTTAAGTCAAGCATTGTCAATAGAATGTTATGATAATCTGTTACACATGAAAATTATTTTAGTAAATTTATTAGTTCATATTTATTTTGTAAGTTATTGTTATTCGGATATACGAGGATGGGGTTACATTAATTTACATTGCCGAGACAATGATAACGCTCCGATTGGCTGGTAAATATGAATACAGTATTTCAAAAATCGATTATTTATACATAAAATCATTAAAACGATTGGGTCTAGCTCTCACATCAGAGCATACGTTCAAATGTTTTTGTTCCATTTTTTTTTAAATTTATAGTAAAATTAGTATAATAATACTAGACAAATAAAGTGATCTAAAACTAAATAACACAAACCAATTAATTTCTTCATATATTTTATTTAAACCAGTTATGGTTTTGCTCATGACTGAGAAATAATTAATCTTAAAAAGGTTACTAATTCCTTCAGGTGGTATATTTACAAGCCTCCCAGCGATGTGGTGCCCTTCCTCGAGTTTGGTCGTAACTTTACATACATTACACCGGAGTCTAAGGGACGATGGCAACAATCAAGGAAATATATAACGTCTAATTCAATGCTCCAACACACTCTAGCTCCTATATACAGGGTAGTAGTACTTAAATTACTTTGCAGACTGCAATTTAATATATGCTTAGCATAAAAGTTCTGTATACAAAACTTCTTTTGATGGCATTGGCAGAATATAACGTGCAAGTTTGTTTTGGTTGAAAACCACAAATTAAAGACAAATACTCGATTCCATATTATGGCATAGAAATTATTTCTACAAGACTTCTTTCACACATAATGTTAATTACGAATAGCTGGATTATAGACTAACCTAGATATTCCTGATAGATTATAAAAGTAAAATAAATTATAATTCCACGTAATATCAGTCTGAAAATCAGAATTATTTTCCTATTTCAGCCAACGTACACAGACTATCTGGCACTAGCGGTATATGATCAACGCAAAGGTAACAAACGTATCTCAGGATCACTCGCACGAGGTGTGCTCATGGCTGATGAGATGGGAGGAGTTTGGATACATCATACAGTCCCTGGACTTGTTGATTTAAACAGTGAGTATATGAAGAGAGATATCATAGATCATTGACGATTGTGGTTAATAAAGAAACTGTATTCTTGTGAATTTCTGGAACGTACAAAATGAGTTGTAACAGCTATCTCCCTACTAGGTTAGGCATGAAAGTAAGATTACTAGTGGATATTCAAACTGAAATCTTTGATTTTTATTCATATTGTTCCGACCATTTGAATTAACTTAAAACTGATACTACTTTTGATTGTTTAAAATTGCTAATCAAGGCAAAACACATATTCGATATTAAAAAAGAAATCGTTATTAATATTAAAATATTAATTAATTACGTATTATTGAAAACTTCGTCGTAATTCTTCAATTCATCCTAATGTCGTCTATAAATTGTGTTGTAGGCGACCGTCCAACATTCCCTGAAAGCGAGAGTCCATATGGCCATCTTATTATGTGTATGTCACTTGATTTAGACACTATTAATATGATTGCTTATAATCTGAGAAACGTATACCCAAAGCTGACGTATTTAAAAATACCCAAACGAATACAGAGTTTACTGCCTAGTTGGAGGTCACTTGAGCTACCATTAAAGAGGTAAATATTCATATAGTTAATAGACACATTGTTTGTGTATCAATTGTATTGAAAAAGGCAAAGGCATTTTGATGACGCAAACACATTTTGTAGTAGAAATTACGTAATATTAAGTATGTAGCTACTTCATTTGCACTTAAGACAAAGTTTGAAGTAGACCCAACACAAATAACCAAAATATAGATAAATATTAGGTATATCTAATTTAATTATTTGTCATTAAATATCAATTCTTTTTCAGTCACGTTATAAAAATGCAGCCCTTTATACCTCGTGACAATTCAATAAGAGCAGAACTCCTCACAAGACCTCCCGGTGACAGAGACTCTATATATGAAGCGTTTGCAAACTCCAAGAACATTGTTTTGGACGTTTTTGGACAAAGCGGATCGTTGTGTAAAAAGAAATATGGGTTAGTGTGTCTAAATGTTTTGTAATTAAAAGAAATAATAATAGGTGAGTAGGCTGAAGTCCCATCCAAATTAATTCATATTTTTTGGAACTTCTTATACAAAATATAGGCTTATTTTCTAATCTTCCTAAACCTCTAACCTTCTAGTCTTTTTTTAATAACTGACTACTTCAACCATCAATAACCTATTTTATAATATTAACATATTATGTAGTTATCGAAAATTAGATTCATTTAAATTTGTTACAGCGTTCGAAGTATTCAGAGTATATCATTGAAATATCCAGAGAAAGTTTATTATTTGAACAACAAAACGGATAAAATGCATTTCGCTGTTAGCACAGCAGCTCACTGGCAGGTCCTGGGTTCGGGTCCCCGTCAATACTGGACGTGTATTAGTAATTTATTTATGGACAATAGACACGACTTGGGAGGCGATCTTGTATGTGTTGAGGATTATAAGGTTTGGCTTACTTTTGACAATTTGAAAGTCAAAGAGCCTGAATGTTAGATTATTATAATTATTGAATGAAATTTGAGATTTTTATTTGATTTATTTTGGATGTCATGTTTTTATTTGTATTTAAATGGATAGTAATTTAATTTTAATGATATCAATAAAAAAATTGTATCACAAAAATTTCGTGTGTATTGTTTGAAAAATTCCTCGTCTCTTAAGTTTGCTCTTTGTTTAATTCCAATAAAATGTTTATGGCTGCAATTCAATGATAAGTCAGAATATAAAAACCGATATAAAATTATTTTTAAGCAACGAAACCGTATACTACGAACATAAATCATTTATATCATAAAAATATAAATAAGAATAAAACAAAATTTTATTATAAGACATGTTTTAATATACAACACGAACATTATTTACAATGCAAGAAGGTTGATCGGTTGACGCTCATCAACCATTCACGGGCAACCTCAATAAGCTATGAAACCTACACTCACGGCTTCACTGGACTTACTTAAGTAACTTCCATCACCCAACGTAGTTTGGCACTCGTAATAAAATTCCATAGCAAAGCAATAGATCATTTTGGCGTCGCATAACCATCACTCGTAAATTGGTACCATACTCGACTACTAAATATAGTTTACCAAAATCGTTACATCTACTTCCCACATAGAAAAAGTAGGTCGGTCAACTTAAAGGTAATAAACATTTATTATATAAGAAGAAGTGATAACAATATAATTTCAGATAGAGATTCTTTGGATAATAATAATTTGTATAGTGGCATATGATTAAAGCATCGAATGTTAAGACTAATTATTAAGTGCCCGTAAAAAAATAAACAACAATGCCAATGCTAATAATAAGTAGTATTTACAAGAAGTTTATTCTTAATGTTAATTGACTCGATTGTTATATGAAAGGCCGTTGTTATGTATCAATGGGATACTCTTAGCGATGGCATCCTTGTGAACCAGGAGTCTTGTTTGATTTTCAAATAATATGAGTCTCTAGGGGATGGTGATGTTAGCGCTTCTTCTAGAACCTTCAAAGCGCTAGTTGGTAATACTTTAGCGCTATACTCCGCGGCCTCACCAGGCATAGTTACTGCACAAGTAGCTGTTGATGACGAACTTACTTCAGAATTCGGTGTATCCGGGCGACTGGAATGTAAAATAAGACACCTATTGAATAAGTAGTAAAAATATAATCCATTCTTTAGACATTTAATACGGATGAATTCAGAAATTACGCAACTTATCACGTTTGTTGCATCATGGGCATAAAATACATAATCTAACTAGAATGAGATATAAGAAGCGTATTTAAAAATAACACAATAAGTAGTCATAATATAACACATTCATAAGGAGATTCAAAAAAGATGAATTCAAATTGCAAATTAGCACAATATTTGCTGGTAAGGTTATAGGTTTAAAATAAGCAGACATAAAGGACAAAATTAGAATTACAACATCATAAAGATACAAAATTAAGACCTTGATGGCTGGCTTATAGGCGTGACTTGCATCGGTGGTGCGTATATTTCTTCTGCAGCTAGATCAGGCGCGTGCAGCAGCACGACGTGAAGCCTCCGAGCACGCAGCGTAGCGCGCAATGCACGAGCAGCGCCCCACGTGCCCCATCTTACAGCGGCAGAACAAGCGCTGCCTTCACTCTCACCACGAGATAAACTCTCACAAGCCGTGTCTGATGTAAGACCTGGAAATAATGATCATTACGAACCCTTTATAATATTCTTTAAAAATAATAATAAAGAACAAAAATCAGAACGATGTAAATTTAGTTTATTATATTTAACTTCACTTACTTGATATCACAAAGTAAATATATTTTTGTTCTATATCAATGGCAGGATATAATATCATAAAATTTTAGACATGTTTTTATTATTCGTAACCAAATACATTTTTACTATTCGTAATCGCGATTTGTAGATGATAATTGAGAACACTGTCATACGTTGGTGTAGTTAATGATTTGGTATTTCAATTTACCAATATAAAACAGTCGCCCAGCGTAAGGGTGGTCTGCAGCGGCAGCGGCCAAGAGTGGTGAGAATGTCCTAGCAACCCTTAGGGCTCCGAGAATGTTACTACGAAGGGCACTCTCCCAGACCGAAGCCCCACCGAGACCACTGCTACCAGCTGTATTGATCACTGCCCAAACTCCTTAAAAAAAACGAAAAAATGTTTACAAATCACTGCTTAAATTGAATTAATGTACTTCTTATAGCCCTTAAATTAATACACAATATTTAATATTTATGTAGGTAGTTATATATTATTAGAAAAGTGCCACCTATATTTCATAACGTGTACTAAGTAGGTTACTTCACTATCAAGTCTCTTGTATTCTTTAGACTTCAGGTTTTGTAATTGTCGTTAGATGTCGCTAGTTGTTACAGTGGAGCAGTTTATATGTCGATGTTTAATACATACAGTTTACAATTATTTCAAATAAAGTGAAATACAATTATTTTTAACAGCTATATGTTATTTTGTTATAGTTATAATAAAATAATATATTAATTTCTATTAATACTTCCTAAATATGACTTCCTATCGCCAAGCACTGCTGGTGTAGTGGTATCATGCAAGATTCCCATTCTTGCGACCCGGGTTCGATTCCCGGGCAGTGCACATAAGTTTTGCTACAATCTTTTACATAATTTTCCACATATTTTTTTTTGGATATAATTTTTTAAATGACAAATGAAACTGTATTAAAAAAAAAACTATCGACAGAACAAAACTGAAATATACAGGGTGACTGGTGAATTACTATCAATATTTAAGGAGCATACTCGGTACATGATTCTCATTCGAATTATGTAAAAAAAATAGGTACTTAATTTTTGACCAAATTTTCGTATAAATAAATAAAGTGTGTACACGTTCCAAGTGTTCCAAGTGTGAACGCGTGCGGCGGCGTGCTGATACAACAACACGCCGCCGCGCGCGTATGTGTGAGTGTGTGTGTATACCTAATCTGTAGGGTGTTCATACGATGCGTAATTAATTACACAACTTTTGGTTAACTTTACTTAGAAGTTTATTAATATTTATGTTATATTAATTTTTATTTCGTCATATATGATCGTCAAATATCACGTCCTCAAATATTGATAGTAATTCACCAGTCACCCTGTATAATATATGTAAAGACGCTTATTAAGTTTCAGATTTTAATAATACCATGTTCTCCTGCGGGGAGATGTTGTGCTGTAGCTCGAGCCGCCTCCTCCAATAAATCTTCTCTAGCCACATCTAGTTCCAGAGTAGCTAATCTCGGCGGAGGTTGATTCTCCGGCGTGGCGGCTACATGTGCTTGAAGCCAGGATTCGGCTAAACGAGCGCCGAGGCCGCCCTGCCGACAGCCGGCTATAACTCGCCAACCCTTGCTGCTTAAATACGTCGCAATCTGACAAGTTAAATTATGTTATACTAACTTTCGTGGACATGATTTCAGTTAATACTATTTCTACGTTAATAAAACAATTAATTTGTTTTCTTGCATTGGCCATCAATGTAAGATACGAGGTATAAATTATAAATTAACATATGTAGTTGTGTGTGAAACTAACATTTTGCGAATATACTAGGTACGCGACTTTATTTTTGATTAAAACTACATACTCCAGACGTTTCGGTTACTTTACAGCAACCGTGATGACGGGCAGACGAGATGTGTAGTTGTACGTATAAAATACACTTATTAGTCTGATTGACTTGAAGTAAAGTTACCTGCAATCCAAGAGCGGAGTCCACAGAAGTCACAAGCACAGTCTTTGCGCTGTCCACTGGTAACACTTCAGCAACGCGAACCTTCCTCAATAAATAGAGCAGCAACGCTCCAACTATGCTGCACAACGCTGCCAGTTGCAGACCAAGAGATAACCACGTCAACGGATCCATTATAATTGCATTATTTGACTGTCTGAAACAATAAATGCGATTTATATTAAATATTTGTTTAGCAAGTAGCACATAGAAACATGCTATAGCACTAATCGAAACTAAAGGATTTGTTTTTTTAATTATACAATACTAATATTATATATATTGTGTACTTATATATACGAAAAATTATTCCAATCATCTGTATTTTATCAACTTATTGTGATTAATAACAAATAAAAAGTTTTCCAATGTATAAATCTAGACGAGTATATTATAAGACATACGATTTAAAACCGCTAGTATATCTCAATTTCATTGCCCTAGACGTATAGCTTCATTCATATACCGCTTGTTTATAGTAATAGTGTTTTCTAAACAGATATATCACAATAGTTATTCACGCGTTTGTAATTTGCTCCACACAATGTCCTTCTCATAACCGATGCAAAACAATTCGCATCACGCCCCGTGTTTGATATCACTGGATCTGACGTCATTTATACAATTATTTGATTGTTCATCAACTATTATTAATAAATAATAAGCAAAGTTATAATTTGTGACTGTTTATAAGAAGTTGAAAAGAATTTAAACTGTATTATAATTAACATTTGGTTACTAAAACGAGTGTGTAATCAGCTTCTAATTCATTGACTACCAAATATATGTTTCTATGAATAAAGATACATAAAACATTGTTTCTTTTGGTATACATCCTATTCAGTATAGGGACATCCTGTTTTATAAATGCTTACAAAATATTAGCCGCATCCTGTCTAACGGGAATTAAGTTTAACATACGATTGAATAAGACGTTAGTTTTAGTGACATATTGTTGGAAATAAGGTGTTTGAGGGCTTGTTGAAGTACTGAATAAAGTCAGTATAAAGGGCGGTCTTCAGAAGAGTATCATAGCAGTATTAATAATCAGCGGATTTCATTATAAATAGATAAAATAAAAAGATTTATCGCTTAATAACACCAAAGCCACCGAAACTAGAGACAATATAAATAATAGGATTAACTAAGCCTTTATAATAAAAGATCAATAAGTAAGTGGATTTTGTCGTATAAACGCTTAAAATGAAGAAATTAATTTGAAAGAAGCCACAAACAATAACTAGTATAATAATGGTAAATAAACAACTTTCACGTTACCCTCTACAAATGAGGAGGAAAGCTAAGAAAACTATTACAATTTACCGCTCACGAGGAATATTACGTTGCAATTGCGATCTCTGGAAAGTCTTTTGTTTTCTCTTTTATTTGACTCGTAAGATGTCATTTATATATTCTTAAATGATTATTTATCGATGGGTAATTTAATATCAATCACTAGAAAAGTTTAAGAATTAAATTAAATATATAAATGAAATTTAAAACAATTTTTTTCTTTGAGTAACATTACGAAATTTCAGCCGCTTTATAATCCGGCAGTTAACTCTCCCCTCTATCAAAAAAACAAGAAAAACTTGCTAAACTATACTGATAGTGCTGCAAGAATATTGCAAAGAGGCCCTTGCACTTTCATTTACACTCGCTTTAGTGTTAGGCAACGTATTAAGCCAGTCCATAAAGATATATAAATACTAAAAATAAAACATATTTACATTCTATCTATCGAGAATTATCATGTACCCTATCTAATGACTACTTTCTTTTCATAACCACAAGTAGAAATTAAAAATACGTAACTATTTTTTAAAGTAAAATAAAACTAAAAAATATTAGCTCTCTCTGCAAAACGACTTAACCACTGTTGCCAGCGACTCGTTTAGTGTCAGTTTCAACTATCATTTTTCTTACGAAGTTATCTGAGATAAAATATTGTTGAAATATAAATAAATGTCTGTGGTCATTCTTATTATCTCTTAAGAGATCTAAATTTAAACTTAAAACTAATTGAAATTTTATTCAATTATATTGACCAAAAAAAATCTCCTGCGAAAATAGTCTTATAAATTGAGTTAAAACCAAGTTCAACAACACTATACATAAGAAGCTACAACAAATGATGTTTATCAAAGCGATGGCAAGACAATTGTTTGATAAAAACGTGAGAGTCACATTGTGTTTAGTTATCTCTTTATCTTAAATAACAGGAAGTTCATGGTCAAAAAATGTAATATAATTATAACTTTATTACAAACCTAATCTTTTAATTAAATAATTAGCAATCATTTGGTGGTATTATTATCAAATCAGTGGTGGGCTAGTGGTTAAAAGGCCCGCCTCCCATTCATGAGGGCGCGGGTTCGATCCTGGCAAGTACCAATGTTATTTTTCCGAATCATATGTGCTTTCTAAGAGTATTTAGACATCACTGAGTAATTCATTCCCAAAGAGGGTTGATGTCAGGCAGGCGGCCGGTCGTAAAAACAATTAGCCAAAACTATTAACGACATGTATGGCAGACTCTGGCTAAAGCTGGGAAATTGCCAGGTAGAAGAAGATTTGTTGGTATTATTGATATTAAATAATTATTTACAGTAGTGCACGCAGTGTTTAAGTACAGTTCGAGTCAATGATATGGGGAATGCAATTACAATCTTAGTGATTATTCTATTGGCCTGGATTGAACAGCCGTTAGCCTCAGTCTGGATGCAATTAGAATTCATCTGCGTTTCATCTCAATATTCCGTTAGCAATTCCAGTGATTATATTAAAGTATACGATTACCGCAAAGATACGTAAACTCTTTGTAATATATGATTTCCTGTTTATTGACTATATTATGTAGGGTTTCATAATAATTTGTCTAGTAGGTATAAATGAATATATTTTTTCGATTTACTACGTGATTTTTTTTACTCACATTTCATCTGCCCATAATCACGGTTGCTGTAAAGTACCCGAAACGTCGGGAGTATGCAGTTTATACTCAAAAAAAAAATCGCGTAGTAAGTCCGAAAATATTACTTTGATTGAGGTAAATGAGTACTAGCGAAAATCTTAGATCTCAATTTATCTAGAAGTTTTCGTGTACGATAATAGATAATATTTTTATCACATTTAGCGTGGATATTAACTAGCTTATTCATGTGGTTCTGTCTGCGTAGATGTCTATTGTCGTTTCCAAGTATGTATATATTTATGTCCATCAAACTCTGATGTTGTATCTACCTTTTACGCTAAATTTAATTAATAATTGAATTAATTATTAATATAACAAGCATCATCGACTTATATAACCTAAAGGTTAATAAGAACTATAAACAACGTTACTACGACTACTTGCCTTGTAAGTGATTTGATTGAATGTAAAAAACTAACGTTGTATCTAACATTGGCATTTTAATTAGTACTTTTAAGTTTTAATAGATGCTTAAAGTATACTTTTAGTATCAGATAAGGTAATTATAGTTGTCTATAGTTGAAAAGGTGATAATTAATAGGGAAAATCGGTCCGTATCCTATTGGAGATACAAAAGAAACGAGATATTCCAGTTGAAATTCATACGCTGCAGGTTTCATAATTCTCAGTATCTGCGGTGGAATGTATGTGAAATTCAACTTGGCAAGTGTAATATGATTAGTGTTTATACTCGATTGCATATATAGTGCCGTACTATTCAACTACTGAAAGGGTTAAAACAGATTTTAGATCGAATTTACTTCTGGAATGTTCTATAGTTTTAATGAAAACTAAACTCACCTTTCAAAAAAAAACTACATGATACTTCTTATTACTATGTTAATAGGTATGTAGATAAATTCGTTTTGGATGTTTAATAATAGTAATTTTTGTAGAATTTATTAAAGACAAATGGACCAATACTATCTAATATGGGATTATTAATATATATGACTGTAGCAAAGTTTAACTGAATGTGCACTTACTTAGCTAACAACTATTCACTGCACCACAAAATTTAGCACTAAGCTGTAACCGGTTGCTAAGCTATAAAACGTGGATGTTAAAATTAGCAGGACCTGACGCATCTGCGTTGTCCTCTTGATCGTGTAAATACAAATGTAAAACTCATCTCATTTATTTTATCTAAGAGATGACTCAAGAACAAAAATAAAAGGATTCTTTTGTCTGTAATGTATTAAATCAATTGTTGTTCTTCAATCTTCGTAAGAATTCAAAAACGAATACTTAATTTCTTTTATTTAGATGTGCACAATGAGAGTGATTTTAAATATATAAGAAATAATCGCTTCATGGCTTAAGCGAATCGTTTGAAAAACTAATAATAGAGGAAATGTCAACGTATTCCATATTAAGAATTTAATGCTTTTTCTATGTTTTTATCGGATTAATTAGTGAGAGTATGAATCATTGTTTTGTATAACGGAAGTTTTTTTTATATTCTCGAATAAAATCCTCGTATAATATTTATCATGTTTCATCTACAGTGGTATTCCATAAATGAGCATCGTTAGTAATCACCTGATCTTTAGTAACGATCAGTAATTGTGCTTCACAAGTAGTTAGTATTTATATTACGAGTAAGTAAGTAACGTGCGTAATTATAGTTGCGTTGCGAACCATTTCGATATAACATATTACAGTTGCACAACTCGTTGCCCGTGTGGCTTAAAACTCTAGGCCAATTGAAAGCAACACAAAATATTAAATTAATTCATATGTATACGCTTTATATGATAATGATGATTTAACCTTAGCTTAAACGTAGTGTAAAGGTTCTGGTTTAAAGTCGATAGAAGGCAATTATTTCAAACATTATGGTACCTTAAATAACACGTTTTTTAAGGTCAGATGACTGACATTGTATTGTAGGTTTATGAGAACAGGTTGGTTTAGATAAAACCTGTATGAATAAATAAAAAAGGGTCACAAGGTCCCATTATTATATAATATTACATATTAAACGATTTTAATAAAGAAAAATAACAATAATATGTTTTAGTATCAGACTAATCTTTCGAATAATTTCATAAACAAAACAGAAAAACTTCGTTTATTACTCTTAGTTTTCTGTTCATTTATATTAAGACACCCAAATCTAGTTAAGGCAACGCTCCTTAATATAATTTTAATATAATAA